AAAAGTCACTTATGAAAAGTGTGTTTATGTTCCAGAACGTTAAGTCCCTTAACTGAAAATACAATACAAAATAATAGTAAATACTGACTCATTAAAGGTTCAACCCCAACAGTGACAATAATGAATATTTTTGTATGTTTATTGGTTGTAGCATAGAAAACATTGTTTATATTCAATATAAATATATTTGGGAAGGGGCTTTTGGCAAAAATTTTATTGTCTCATAAATAGCTGTTCTGGGATGAATTTTAGTGGTTGTATGTTGGGGGGTGATTCCCCAATTCCTCACACCAACAGGCAGTTGTCAGGATAACAGATGGCTGTCCAAAAATTCAACTCAATTCTGACACCATCCACCAAGAGATCACATCAGATTACACAGGTTAAGGGCTCAGTTATTAAGACCTTCCTCCCTCCCCCAACATTACCTGTACTTCTGACCAGTGGCTATAAATCAGAGGTTCCCACAACCCCCTCCCTGGGTTTGATTATGTTATTAGATGGTTCACACAACTCAGAGAAATGGTTTATTTAATAGATAACTGGTTTCTTCTAAAATGATGGAACTCCAGAACACCAGATAGAAGAGGTGCATAGAGCAAGGTATGGGGAAGAGGGTGCGAAGCTTCCACGTCCTCTACAGACATACCACTCTCCTTAAATCTCTACACTGTATGTTTTCACCAAACTGGAAGCTCTCCAAACACAATTAGGTGGGCATGATTAATTAAATCGCTCGCCACTGGCAACAGAACTCAATCTCTAGCTCTTGGTCCTCCCCAGGAGTGGGGACGCAGGGAGGTACTGAAAGTTCCAACCCTCTAATCACATGGTTGGTTCTCCTGGGGATTGGTCTCCATTCTTAAGTTACCTAAGAGTTTTCCAAAGGTCACTTCATTAACATAACAAAGACACATTTATCACCCTTTATCAGGAAATTCCAAGGGTTTTAGGAGCTTCAAGCCAGAAACTGCTGAAGAATACCAAATATAACATGAGAAATACATTTGGCCATTTGAATGACCTAGTATATATTTCCTATAATCCACAATATTGCACTTCAAGTATATTTTAGTTTTAAAAAGTATCTATTTGGGGGGGCCTGTGTGTGGGTGGCTCAATGGGTTAAGTGACTTGACTGTTGGTTTCTGTTCAGGTGATGATCTCAGGGTTGTGAGATCAAGCCCCACATTGGGCTCTGCGCTTAGTGTGGAGTCTGCTTAGGACCCTCTTTCCCTTTCCCCTTGCCCCTGCTTGGGCGAGCGCACACCCACCCTCTCTCCTCCTCTCTCTCAGATAAGTAAATAGTAAAAAAAAAAAAAAAAAAGAAAAAAAAGAAAAGAAATCTATTTTGAATAGTGACATCAACAAAATTGCAGAATAGGAAGCCTAGACCCTCCCTGAAATCCAGAAGAAAACAGTTAAGCAATTCAGGCACCAGAGAAAACAACTGTTACACAAATAAAAGAAACAAAGGAGTGGCATCTTGATTGCTGTCTAATCTTTTGATGTGACTTTGTTCCGCTATGGCCTGAAGGTCTTTTTCCAATCTAAAGTACAATCGAGGAGCCTCCTTGTACACGGTGGCGGGACATACAGTTCTCTGGCAAGTTGTATCAAGAGGAAATTGAAAGCCTTATTTTATAAATTCTAACATTTTGATTTGATTTATAATGCTTTCTCAGGCAGGGCCTGGCCCATAATATGCACATACCAAACCCTTAGCACTAGCAGTTGTGTTTATCTTAATTGGTGGAAAATATAACCACAATGCATGTACAGGGAGAAGTGATTCGCGGCATCTGAGTCAGCAGTACACTGATGTGCAAAATTAGGGCTCTATGCTTTCCTGATTTTCCCCATTCAGACTAATTTTTTTTTTCCTGACATTAAGCACCATCTGGTGGGGATGGAGAAAAGAAGCACAGGTCAGTGGGTCTTGGTGACCAACTCAGTCCCTCTGGCAAGTCCCAATTCCCTTGCTCATTGGATTTCTCCTCTGTGCAAAGTGAACTGTTAGTACAGTGATCACAGGACAACACTGGTTGTGCAGCTCCAAGGGCTTTTACTTTATGGCACTGCCTCGGCATTGAGGTTGATAGTTTACTTATCCTTGGGGCACAGATGAGGAAACAGAAGCAGAGGTGACCTGTAGCTTGCCCAAGAGCTTGTGCTTGTTGGTGGTGTAGCTGGGGCAGACGCTGAACCTGGGCTGCCAGACTCCAGCATTGCCTGCTCAAACCACTACCCTGAACCGTCAGAATGCAGAGATCTAAGGGCCAGTAAGGAAATGAGGGCTCACTCAGTGCTAGGTGCTCTGTACTCATCATACATTATATCACAGTGGCTCTTTCAGTCATTATTTTTTATTTTTTTTTTTAAAGAGTTTATTTCTTTATCACAAGTAGGCAGAGAGGCAGGCAGAGAGAGAGGAAGGGAAGCAGCTCCCTGCTGAGCAGAGAGTCCTATGTGGGGCTCCATCCCAGAACTCTGGGATCATGATCTGAGCTGAAGGCAGAGGCTTTAACCAACTGAGCCACCCAGGCGCCCTTCTTTTCTTTTCTTTTTTTTTTTTAAGAAATCAAAGGCCAGAGAAATGGAGTCACTTAATGAGAACCATAGTGAAAGCTGAATTCAGATCTAGCCTCCTCTGTTTGCAAAGTCCACATTCTCTCCCTTGCTTCAACGTGGTCCGGGCAGTCTCTCCCCTGTGTGGTCATCAGGCAGGGACAGGTGTTGCGGAGGCTTGAAATGCTGTGGTCTTCCCCCCCAGGGCCAGCCCCCACCTCATTCTCTAGCTACAGGCCACCCATACAGAAAAGCCATCATTGATGGCTGCTGTGATCATTTACACTTTGTCCTAAAGAAGTTATTATTGGCATGAAAGGTTCGGTTATTTTTCATTTATGTGTACTGATCCTTCTAAAACACATTCTCTAATTTGTTTTATGGGAACAACTAAGTATAAATTTTTAATAGGAAGACAACTTTTCTCTTCCGGAGAGCCCAAGAATCTATTCCTCAGTGTGGAGTCCTTGAAAGTCAGGATTTTAGAGGTTGGCAGTCCAGAATGCCAGCCCCTCCTTCTCTCTTCCTCACGCGCTGTGAGCACTCTGGACATACAGCTTCACTTCCTGGATTTTCAGTCTCTGTGCTATATAGACATAATGATAATTCCCTCAAAGATTGCTGTAATAATTTAATTAGATAACAAATGACATATAGTATGTGTTTAATAAAATATAATCCCCTTGAGGAATTACCTGACATAAATTGGCAACTTGTATCTGCTTTTGCTTAATATATAATATCAGAAAATAACAAAATCAGGGATGTAGGTCTAGGAATACAAGTAAACACCCAAACAGTGACCTTTCTTTTCCTTGCTGGGTTTTTTCTTTTCCTTTTTTTTTTTTTAACTTACGGCCTCTGGTTTTAACCACCACTGCCAGGTCAGGGAGGAGGTGTCCTCTGATGTGTGGGATGGTAAGTCCCATGGTAAGAACAGGAAAATTGGAGTCAGAAAAACAAAGTCCAGTCAGTACTTTACTTAACTAACTCTATGACCTCTACAAATTATTTACATTCTCTGTTCTTGTTTTCTCATCTGTAAAGTAGGAAAAGAAAAAAAAAAAACAAACCTCTTCTGCTTTGTTTGTAGGCAAGAGCCAAATGTATTTGTTTAGCTTTATGGCTAGGCAGGAGGATGCGTCTGTCCTTTTGCTCCTTATTTCATTCATTCCACAGCAAGGGTACTGCTGTTACAGGCTTATGCGTCTTCTAATTTGTAATCACCAAGAGAGGCTTGAGAAATCTAGATTCCTACAAAATCTAGCACATTATCAGTTAGATAGCTTCGCATTTATTTTAAAGAGATTATCCTCTGTGATACCATGTGATCCACTTATTATGGGATAGTAACCCCATCACTTAAATATTTTAATATTCTGTTTGAAGAAATAGCAGTATTCATGAATCAGCCATTAGGAGAGTAATTTTTCCTAAGTCGGTGAGCTTCTGAATTCAACTTTATTCCTCTCTCCTTTAGAGCATTTGAATTATATCTTTCCATTGTTTAGGTTTGGGGTGTGTGTGCCTGTGTGTGTGTTGGGGGGGGTCCCCTTCAGTATCCCATCATTCTTCATTTCGGGCATTTAGGGAATTGTTATTAAAGAATTTGTAGAATGCAGCTGCCTATTCACAGCATGATGTATTCATCAAAATAAATCCATCCAAAGCGTTCAATTTGGGGATTTGGCCTCCTGATGCACTAAAATAAGAAATGTTAATTTCTTGCAGACTATTACCAGATGATTCTAAATATCTGCTAAACAGGAATGTCTGTTTCCTTGGGAGGAATTTCCATAATAAAATCCTGGCACCGTCGCTGAAGAGGATAGTTTTATATAAACAGAGAAAAACAACAGCAAGTATTTTCCCCAGGACAGTTTTAGCTACAGTTTACCAATACGGCTTAGTTATTTCTGTCTTCCTTTATGCTTTTGTTTTGAAACATAACGCAGTTTTACCTGGACGCCCTCCCGGATATTCAGGAATGAGCTCAGTGTATTGACTGGCTCCGCTAAAGGCAAGACCTCCGGAAAATCGGGAGGCTCCACCGCCTCACCCCTTCCCCCAGCCACATCTCCAGAGGGGAGAAAGGGTTAAGGACTGTTGGAGAATAGCGGGTCGGGGAGGGAGCCCCGAGGAGGCCCCGGAGCAGCAGGCCCCGCCGGCAGGTGCAGCTTCCAACAGCGGCCGCAGCGCGCGGTGGGCTCCAAGCGCCCCTGTGAATTTGGAGGAGGGAGCTCGGCCACAGTCGGGGACCGCCGTGGCGAGGAGTGGGCGTGGCCTCGTCGCTGTGGATGCTTGTTAGGAAAGATGCTGGGAGCCTTTCACTGAGGAGTCAGGGCTGTGTGTGGGGTGTGTGTGTGTCTCTGTGTGTGCCTGTGTGTGTGTGTCTGTGTGTGTGAGAGAGAGAAAGAGAGAGAGAGAGGAGAGGAGAGAAGGAAGGAGATCGACTGAGACCCAGAGGTGCTGAAGACCCAGAGAGCGCTGGAAGAGCCACTCAGGATCTTTTGGGGGAACCCAACAAATGTGAACATGGGGTCTATCACCGGAGCTGTCCTCAAGACGCTACTTCTGTTATCTACTCAAAATTGGAACAGGGTCATAGCTGGGAATTCCTGTAAGTATACAGCAAATGATTTAAAACTTGAAGGGGTGGTGGTGGTGGGGGAGGCTCTCTGCAAAACTTTAATTCTGTTTTTTTAATCATTATTATTTGCAACTGAAATTGCTGCAAAGCATATTGCTATAAATGAGCCTCACTTAAAAATCTTGCAAATATGACTGGCTTTACACGTGTCTTTCCTCCTGATCTGGTCAAAATATGCAAAGTGTCATTTCCTTTCTTTTTTGGCCATAAGCAGGCTCTTATCCTCCTGTCTTTGAATATTCATTCAGAGAGCTCAAGTTCTAGTAAAACATTAAATTAGCATCTTAACCAGGGAATAGCCTGTGAATGTCTTCATTTCTTCCTTCTCGAGGATTACTGAATTTTATTGGAATTATGTGTATCAGGAAAACAACTGGCAGACTTTACCTTACCTGCATTAGCTTGGATTTCTGAAGTTTGCATTGGCGGACTGATAGCTGGCTGCAGCTTTCAATAACTGACAATAACCGAAAGGCACTGCAGAATTCAGGAGCAAAACTGGCAGAGGTGAACCCCAGTATTAAGAATCGTGCCCTCACTCCTAAAGAATGAGATTTGAGTACTCTTGAAAGAGGGGTCTTCATCCCTACATTTTGCTTAAGGAAAGATGTTTACGTGATTTTTCAAAAGTATGAATTCTTAAAAGCATTAGTTTTAACTTTATGCATTTATGATTGGATATTCTCAGTTAATTGATTCGGGGAAGATTTACCAAGACCTTATTTCTTATTTAAGTATCATTCAATATAATTTGGCAGAACTCCCTTCATCCATGTTTTTGTTAGAGATAGAAAAGTTTTAAAAGTTGTATTTGGGTTAAAATCCCCAAATGGGAGGTTCCCCCCCTCCTTGACAAATGATAAATAAGCCCTGCAAATTCAACTTTTTACCTCTTTCTCTGATTTAAAAAGAAAAGCTCATTTGCTTTTCCAGAAAGGGCTATGAGGCCTGTTCAGGAATTGATGTTGCTGTTGCTGTATAACCAGGGTTAGGTTTGGGGCTACAAATAAGCCAGTAATCAGGCATTTGCTCCCATGCATCCCTTGAGCACACTAAAGCACTTTGATGTGGGAAAAACATGATGAATGACCCTCTGGCACAAGTCAGATGTCCATTTACACCGCGCGGGCTCCTGTGATTTCAGGTTCCCATGCATATTAGCTCATAGACTGGCGTGGTGTATCCATCACTCAGCAAGAAGAGAACACCCCCCAGATGCTGCACTGTGTTTCAGACTCAGTTTTCATTTGGTTGTATAAGAATTCCATGAGACAAGAAAATTTACCTGTTTCCACCTGGTCAGAATCTTGGAAGGCTGTAATGGTAGCTTTTGACAAGCATAGCAACAAACAAACGACAACTAGACAGACACACACTCCACACCCATGCACACAAAGTTTTGTTGAGAAGGCTTAAAATTCATTGTCCAACTAAGAAGTTCAACAAAAAAGGAAGGCACTAGAGGTCACTCTTACAATGGAAAGCACATCACTTGAAGCATCCTTCCCTTCAGAAAAGCAGAGCTGAAGTCTGGCCTAGACACAGTCATGCCTTATCAAGGCACTGGCTATATTTGGGTTAATAATATATGAATATGATTGATATCTGTTTGATTGATAGTTTATGTTTGTTTGCTTGGAGTCCAATAAAAGGCAGATAGACACTAAATAGCTTTCGTTTGTAATAGATCTTTTCAGCGAAGGGCAGAGGAGCTGCTGAGACCTGAGGAAAGCAGAATATTCAGTAGTGCTGGGCCTCTGGCTGACACTTTAAATTTCAACCCTGCTTCTATATTCTCTCAGCTTTGGTTTGTTTGTGAAGTGGTTTAATGTTCTTCTAAATACTTGAAAAACTTATAAGAACCTATAAAATTTTAAATTACTAGGAATTATTTAAATATTGAAGTTGGAGTTCTTGGTTACCATATATTGAGTTACCATATATTGAGTTGACAGTTGTCAGAGTGTCAAAAATGCAAATAAGTGCCCTCATCTAATTAAAGTTGTATTTAATAATTTCTTATTAACATCATTTCATGTTTTGCAATAATACATATGAGAAAAATTTCATTTCCCAATTTTTGTTTTATTCTTTAGCACTTAGTGTTTTTTTTTTTTAATTTTTAATTTTTGGTTGGAAGCAAGGTCTACTTACTAACAAGGCGCTTCATATGTTTTATCTTGTTTGGAAGAACAAGTATATATGTTTACTAGCAAAGCTGGGATTTGGTGTATGGACAAGTGACCATCAACCAGCATAAGTATTTTTATTTTTTTGTATTTTTCATTTTTTCAGCATAAGCATTATAAAGTCTTACAGTAACACCAATAATTCTTCTGGACAAGACTTTGTATTAAAACATGAATCAATCTTGAATGCCAATGTTAAAGTTAGGGAGAATTGAATATAAATAAATAAAATTAAAGGTCAGTGTCCTAGGTGAATACAAAGACCTTCTCCCTTTATTTACAGCTGATTCACCAAGAGCAGATCTGTTCTCCACTGAGTCAGCCCAAGACTACCCAAGGCTGTCAGTGTGAAAGCTTTCATGGGACAGCACTCTAAACCAGGAACAGCTCAGGGATTAGGTGCACTGTAATTTGAATGTTAGTTGAGCAAAATCAATCAACATGGTAACTTTACATTGGAAGGATTCTGTGCAAATAAACACATGTCTGTATACATGTTCATGTGTATGTGCATGTATATATACATAAATAAATCTGTGTAAACCACCAGACACATGTGCTCACGCATATTTGGTGACTCTGCTCACTCCTCACCTGTCTACAGATGAGATATGTTGAATGGACCCCATCCTTTGTCAACTAGCGCCCTACTGGACATTTCAAAAGCAGTGAACCAGCCCCAGGTGTTTCCCCTTTGTTCTGATAAAGACAAACATGCTGTTATGTTGAGGTGTTCCTTTCATGGACGTTTAGAGACAGCTCCTTCTGGAAGAGCTTGCTCTGTGATACGTTGTGCAGACTATTGTTGGTTTCTTCACTTGCTCCCAAGAGACATGAATTGTGAGAAGGGAGATACCTATTTTTATAATTACTCTTATGGACCCACGGTTTCTTGCTCAACATGAAGGTGTTTTGGGAAAAGTTGACTCACCACAAAAGAAGGAACAGTTGTATGGACTAAGGCAAGTAAGAGTCTTGCTGTTATTTTTACTCTCGCAGATCATGTGATGAAGGCTTCCTGGCATCCTACTGAGTCTTACTCTGAAAATATTTAATGCTCACCAAGTAGCTTTTGAATGACTTAATTAGAAGTTAAACTCTTTCTTTTATCTAACTGAAAAAAAGGATTATCTGATATCTACTCTGACAGAAGCATGGGAAGAGTATGTTAAAAATCAGCAATAGATGAGGGTAATTGCTTGAATGGATCATCACTCTTGTGGGGTCCGGGCTCCAATGTGAAATGCAACTGGACAGATTCCCAAATTGTTAAAACTCAACCTTGCAATTCTTTCTTGAAGCTTCCTACTTTTCCTCCTTCTCCCAAGAATTTCTGCCCATGGCAAAAAACAATTAGACTGTAATAGTAGAGTACTGATGAAATATAATGATATGATACAATGCATGAATAGGTGACACACAGGTGAGCTTGTACTTTGACTCACTTTTCTAACAGCGACGCTGATTTGTTTTCTTCAGATTAGTGCCTTCTCCCCACTTCCGACTGCGTGCATCCCAAATAATTTCCGATTAGGGCCGTCTCCAGCTCTGGGGATGACACAACTCATACCTAACATGGGGCTCAAAAATAGGACTTTCACAGCACTCATAGGGCTCACTCTTAGTAATAAACATTATTGTCTTCTAAAATTTTGGAAATTGTGTCAGATATCAACAGTTCCTTTAAGGGACCCAATCTTTATATCAAGATTGAGTTAATTTGCCTCTTCAGGGAAAACAGTTAGTAGAATTGCATAACATCAATTGTAAGATAATGCAATATTTACCTCAGAGGTTGGCCAAATATGGCCCACTGCCTTGTTTTGTAGAACTGGTGAGCTGAGAGTCATTTTTCTAATTTTAAATGTTTGGAAAAAAAGTTTTAAAAAATGTTTGGAAAAAATTAAAAGAATTCTTTGCAGCACAAAAAAATTAAATGAAATTTGAATTTCGGTCATCCATTCCTATCATTAGTAGACCTGTGTGGCAAACATTTGTATGCATTATTATTATATTTTGCATTTTATCAACAAAATTTTCTTGAAATTGATCTCCCTCTCTTGATATGAAGATCTTCATAATATTCTTTACTATCTGGCTTTTATAGGAAAACACCCATGGATTTTAATAACATACAATATAATGGTGACACATGGGTAATATATAAATTATACTGCTATGATGAAATTTAGTCTTAATTATTTAGCACAGAAATACATACTTGTGGAATTGTGGTACTGAAAGTAATTACTAGGAGGTATAACAGAAGAAACCTTCAAATCAGTATCTTCCTCATATGTTTCTTCTTAAAGACTTTATTGTTCAGAGATACTATTTCAGTGGGTGTGAATTACTTGTAACTATTTGTAAAGCTTCAGCAGTTTTGGTTGCTAAAGGGGCACCTTCAATCTCAAGTAATCTGTTAATATAAGAAGTTCAATAAAGTGTATAAGTAATTGCATCTCAGATATTTCAAATGAAAATTCTGTTGTTATTTTATACTTTCATGAGTGTAAATTATCCCATTCCATACTAATCAGAAACTTGCATTTGGAATCACTGATTGTATGAGGGAGGTGATCTTACAGGAAGAGTATTCTCATCCCTATGACATTTACAGTAGCAGCTTCCTACAAACTCTGAAATTGGCAAACTTTCTAGAATAAGTTAAAAAAATAGACTTCCATTTAAGCACTGCCCACTGAGAATTCATAATAACTGGGCAGGTGCCTTTCATCTACTCATGCCAACATAATTAATTTTTATGTAAATGTCTTGTCC